CCCAGCCTCAATGGCTTGCATCCCAGCCTCAATGGCTTGCATCCCAGCCTCAATGGCTTGCATCTCTTTTTAAATGGCTAAAGCCAACATGGCTTTGGTGCCTTATTTTCTATAGCCTGCATGGCTTACTGCTTTGGAAGCCCTTGGTGGCTTTGAGTGATCAAACAATAGCCTTTATGGCTTCCAAGCCTGAATGGCTACTTGTGTACTGATTGTATTGGAATGTGTAGAAATAGTGTTTTTGTTGAACATAATTGAACTGACATTTCAGTTATTTGATGTTATCAGTATGTTATCATACAAATTGGGTAAAACTCATTTTTGTATGTTAAAGAAACCAGGTGTGCTTGAGAACCAGTGTAAAAGAATAGTGTATATGTTCCAACTATTTCATGTCACTACATGACTGCCAGGCTTTAGGTTTACAGTGAATGAGTGACTGAAACAGTGAAATGGTGACTGAATGGCAATGGATGCTCCTCACAAGCTGTTGGATATTCATCACTTGTATTGGGGCACAAAGCTAGTGTTCAATGGAGCTGATGTAATGAAACTTAGATTGTTTGAGATTGATTTTTTATTTAACTGTTTATTATGTAAGTACCTTTGTTCAGAGCAGTCTCCTGGACCAAACCATGCCTCAGGATTTTCAAGAATGAGTACTACAGCAATGTCAAATACTCTATGTGGAAGTGGGTGGGGAATACAAGATGGAGAGTGGCCTACTTCAGCAATGGTTGGGAAAGCTGGAGTCTTGGATGACTTAACATTGGGTTAGTGGAAGAATGTAGTGCAGCCAATAAGACCAACTAAGGATCAGTGAAGATGAACTGAGTAGATTGGCTTATGAGTGGATTGGGCCTATTAGCAGGATGCATTTCACTCCATGTAAGGTTTTACCGACACCTCACTTTGAGTGAGAATGCACGCCACTGGATGTGGAAAATCAAAGCAAGCTGTCAGGTGCAGTGTGTTTAGATGTTTCCAACATACTGGAAGCCCTGGTGGCTATGTTCTTTGCAAGCCTCAATGGCTTTAGGATAGTAGCCCAAGTGGCTTTTGTAAAAAGCCTCAATGGCTAAGCTAGTTTATGTAAATGTTTTTTCCTGAAGCCTTCATGGCTAGTATAGCCCAAGTGGCTTTGACAGTTTATGTTTTTGAATTGTTTAAGCCCAAGTGGCTTTCTTAAGCTTCACTTGTGTCACACATGTTTGCAATCAGTTGCATTTTGCTCATTTGCTGCAGTGTAGGACACAACCTTGCTATGAACAACATTTGTCTAAACAATGGTTTGTATACATAAAAAGGAAAACTTACACAAACTATAAACTGTTTCAAAAATATTTTTTACACTTATTGATGTCTAAAATAGCTTGAACTAAAACAATTCTCTAAGTCAATAAAAGAAATAAATATTATTAGATTTGTTTCAAATACTTAAAAAGACTTATATTTTTAAGAAAATATAGATTTTAATATCTAAATTCTATTTTTTCAATTCAAAACTTTAAATTAAGATTCTTAATTTAAATTTTAGTATTTGGAACTTTAAATTAAGAATCTTAACTTAACTTTTTATTCAACAAGAGTTAAGTTAAGATTCTTAATCTAACTTCTGGAATATTGAAAGTTAAGTTAAGATTCTTAATCTAACTTCTGGAAAAGCAAAAGTTAAATTAAGAATCTTAACTTAACTTTTGGAAAAGTAATTCCTAAATTAAGAATCTTAATTTAACTTTTGAAGGTCAAGACTTTAAATTCTAAATCTTATCATAGAATTTGTAAATCAAAAAAACATAAAAATATAAAATTAACCATATTTTTTATGTTATTCACACACAGATTATGCAAATAAAGTTTGTTAATGCTATAGTACAAGCTAGTACAAGCAAACAAAACACCATACTACAAACAACCTTTTGCCTTAGACAGTTTCACCTAACAATATTGAGCCAATAGTGCTCGATATTGCATGAGTGCAGCTATGGATGCTACTACTTCTGAGGCTGCATTGAAGCAATCCTCCAATGTACCTGGAAAAGGTGAAGAAGAAGACTGTTTTGGTATTGGTGATGCTTGGAAATTGTTGAAGCCTTGGGCTGTCAAGGTGAAGGAAGAGATGAATTCACCAACTGAACCTCCTAGCCCTACAAGTCCAGCTATGGAAAATGTTGTGGAAGAAGTTGAAAAAGCACCTGATGTGTTGGAAATGACAGTCAAAGCAAAGGTGGAGAAGTTCATGAAGACTGGCTTTGTCGCTGTGGATGCAACACCTACTGATGAAGAGTATCTTGGCTGCAAGCTGTAACTCTTTGAATGTTATGGGGTACCTTTTTGTTTTACTTGACTGTACTTTGTATTGGTTTTTGTTGTGATGTATTTTTGGTAATTTGTGTTCATTGCTTATGACCTTGAAACCACCAGGAAAAAGATTATGGCCCAAGTGGTGGCTGCAAGCACAGCTACAAAGCCTAAGAGGCCTTTACCAATGCCACCCAGTGAGCCAAAATCCAAGAAGGCAAAGCCTGCCAGTGAGCCAGCGTCCAAGCATGCAAAGTTTGACAGTGCACCCTGGAATCAAAGCCTGAGCAGTGGCAGCAAGGACTATGAGGTGAAGAATGACAATGAGGTGCAAAAGGGCAATGAGGAGAAGAAGGAGGTGTCATGGTTTGATACCAAGCAATATGAAACTCAGAATGCAGCCTGGTATACTCCAGTGAAAAAAACAGAGAAGAAGGGCATGCTAGTGGATGGATGAACCGCTGTGCCATCCTGATAGCAAGACTGCAAAGAAATGAGAAGGCAGAGATTGATGAACTCTTGAGGCAGCACCCTGAAACAAATAGATTCTTAAGTTTTTTTATACAATAAAAAAACATGTCATTGTTTGAGGTATGTACTCTTGCAGTATGCTTCAAATTTGCCAAGGTATACAGCACATGACAAGATGGCCAGTGTGCTCAAGAAGGTGCACTACCACTTGGAGAACTATGGAGGAGTTGATTGGAGGCGTATCTACCATGATGCAAAATAGTTGGATAGCAAATAACTTAATATATGTAAAAATAAAGCACTGGCAAAACACACCGTATGAAGCATCATGATAGATGAATTGGCCATTGCCTATGCCATTTTGGCTGTAAGTGGCAAGAACTTGTGCCTGCACTGTTGTGAAAAAAGGCTGCTTGGAGCTGCTGCTCTTTCAAGCCCTTGAGTGGCTCTTTTAAGGCTGGTTTTCAGTGGTGGTAAGCCCTAGTGGCTTTTGGTTCTTGCAAGCCCTAGTGGCTTTTGGTT